TTAATAATATAATATTATATTTTTAATATTATAATAAAATAATCAATTATATTATAATAATATAAGATATTATATTTTTATTTTAATAATATATAATAAATTATTAATAAAATTTATATTATTTATTAATTTCATATAAATAATATTATTAAATTATTAGTAATGAATAATATTATTTATATATTTAATATTAATATAATAATCTAATAATATTTTAATAAAGATATTTAATATTTAATAATAAATAAAGTATATTAATATTTTAAAAATAATAATATTAAGTTTTATGGTAGATAATATTATTTATTGTATTTAATATTTGTAATAAATAATTTTTAAAAAACTCATCAACTAGTGGAAAAAAGGTTTAAACAACATCTTTCAAACATCGTAAAACGTTTTCCAGATGTTTTTCAGAAAAATGTAATTCATTTTACGGAAAATATTTTCCAGAAATGTAATTCATTTTCCAGAATTCAATTTCCATTAATTCATTTTCCAGAATTCAATTTCCAAAAAACCAATTACAGCCAAACAAACAGACCCTAAGGTTATTGTTTTTGAGATTGTTCTGATGATGTTTGGTAATGAAATGAGGGGTTTCAAAAGATGAAGACCAAGGCTTACAAACACACCTGAAACGGGTCAAGTATTTAACAGGAAGATTTGTGAGAATCTCCAACACCAACATCTTTGGTAATTCGGTTCTAGTTTTGATCAACCCTTGCATCTTCCCTCTTTATCTTCTCTATTTCCTTTGTGTTTTTCAATAGATGATTTTGTTTGGGGGGAAAAAGATGAGAACTAATATGAAAGAAAAGGAAGACAGAACAAACTTATAAAAGGTAACATCAAACGTTTTTCTGTAACAAGAAAACTACAATGAAAACTGATCATTGGTTACATTACTTTGATGGGCTAGGTCAAGCCCTTTTAAAACCCATTAGCTTATCGTAGACAGGGTTTGCACAATATTGACTATATATAATATATTAGTATTTTAAAATAAATAAAATATTTAATAATAATAATATATCTATAATCATTTATTATATTTTAAATGATTAAAATAATCTATTTTATAATAATTTGCTACATTTTAATATTAAAGAATATATTTTAACATTATAAAGATAAAAAAACCTCTAAAACTTTAAATAGGTTATAAATATAAATAAATTAACAATTTATATAGGGTCGGATCGGATCAGTGATATTTTGCATGAAATATACTCTCACCCTGACTCGAAGTTATATATTTATATAGCTTGTCATTCCTTAAACCGTTATAATATCAAATAATATAAAGAATTTTTTAAGGGTAAATTATACTAGTGATATCTTACGTTTTTTGATTCGTTTAGTTTTTTTCACAGGTTTAAAAAGTTTTTGGTTTTGGTCACTTTTATTTTTGGTCCTTATTGTTAGTAAAAATGGTTAAATTTTAATTTGACCTATGAATTTAAACAAAATATTAATATGACCTTTAATTTTACGTAAAATAGTAATCTAACTCTTAAAATCTATATAAAAAATGAATTGACCCCTAAATTCAATCAAAGTTAACGTCTCTACTAGACACACATTGTCGTCGTCGTCCACCATCATTTTTCATCACCAGTCATCGTCGTTGGTTGTCACGTCAGCATGCGATGCCATATAAGCTTGATACTTCATCTTCATATTGATTATTTGTTGACTAACGATTTCCATCCACATAAGAACTCCTTTTTCCCAAATGAATTGTTAGAGGTTAAAGTGCTTGTCTATATATATATATATATACACACACACACACACACACATATATATATATATATATATATGTATATATATATATATAGGGTTCAATTACACTATGTAATATTTTTTTATTTTTCACATATTTAGTACTATTAAATGAGTGAAAATAGAATACTAAGATTAACAATAGAAAATGAGAAGATATTCAATGAAAAATAAATAATTAATCTCATTCAACTATCTCTACTCATCCCATAGTCCTAAATCTGTATTTAACTAAAAGTGTTTTATATTATATAAATTGATCCTAATATATATATATATATATATACACACACAACCCAAAATTTTGATTCCAAGATAAATCGGGTTGTTGGAAGATAATTAAATTATCACAAATTCAATAATAAAAAACCTCTAGCCTCATGTTTTTTTTTCTAAATCCCTTTAGTTTAATATTGAAATCAATAACAATACTAGTCAACAATTTAATTCTCAATCCTAGTCAACAATTTAATAAAGCAATATCAATCATCATCAATTTCAGTTTAAGATTCATATTAGATGAAACAATCATGCATATTTGAGGGAGTTCAATTTTTTTTATTAAATCTTATATTCAAATTTGAAATGACCTATTAACATTTGTGAATAATAAATTTTATTAAATCTATAAATGCATTTAAGATTTTTATTATTGTTACTTATTCTAATATTTTGTTTATGAAATTTAATGGATAAATCATAATATCTATATGACAAAAGCCCATAATTGCATCATTTTCCTTTTTCCAAGCCTTCTATGGTCAAGTTGATCCACGTGAGTTACTTTGTCACCAAGATCCACGTGTTTTTATATATGTTCAGTTAATGTTCAAGTTGATGATTAGGATGATGGAAGGGCTTAATTGAAACCATATTAGCATTTTGAGAAGTAAATTAGAACATTTAAAATTTGGGGACCAATTTAAAATATGATACATAATTTAGGGATGTCTAATGCAAATAACATAAGTATTAATTTTACAATCTCTACTCATTCTCAATTTCTAACATCGAAGTTTTTTATCGATCTCAATTTTTTACCTTTATAATCGCGAGTGTCTGATTTAGGTTATTTTTTATATAATTATTAAAGTAATAAATTTTACTATTTTATTATTTATTATTTTTATAATTTAAACACTTTTATATTTTTAAAGTTAATTTTATTATTTATTACAAATATCATAACTTTGAAGGTTTACTACAACTTCTATTCAAAGTTTTTATATGGGAAAAACTATAAAATCTGTCAACAATTTGCAGGGCCTGTAGTTTTACCATTTTTAAGTGGCAATTGATGTGGGCAATTTTGAATCTTTGTAATCATTTGGGAAGACGAAGTCGGTCGAGCATAACACAAATGAATCTCCCACAGTTGCAGCCCTCCAGTTTTGTTTCTATTACAAGCAATTTTAGGTGAAGCTTTTGTAAGGCTCTGAATTATTTTTATAACATCTCGAACCATATAAATGTTTCCTGGTGTAAGTCCGGTAGCTGAATCAAAGTAAGTTAGAAATTGTGTTAGGAAGATGAATTATCAACTATTTAATCTTAAAAATTGAATCATTCTAACTTTTCAACCATCTTATACATATACTCAATAACAGAATATATAAAAGCAAGTACAAAGGAAACATACTCACCTGGATTTGTCAAGCCTTGTCTAAGCGTTATGGCAGATTTGAAGTAATCAAGAGGGTTATTAGGGTAATCAGAAAATGTTGCATCAAATGTGTTTTTGTTTCAGTTTCTGTTTTAAGTGGGATACACCTGTGTTTCAGTTTATTCAGTATGTTTGTAGTGGTGGCATACACATGGTTTTCAGTTCGGAAGTTAGGCAGCAATATGTAATTTAATAAAATATAATATTTAATTATCCCATGTTATTCAGTTTGGCAGGTGTGATTAATCACGCATTTTAAACCATTGGATCAAATTAAACTACATTAACAAGAACCAAATATTATAAAACTAAAAACCTAATTACAAATCTAAACCCAAACATATTAAACCCATCAGCCATACCCACGCGTGAAGACCCATCAAGTGTGGAAAAGGAGGTATTTTCTCCATATATATAACATGAAAGAAGATTCAAAAAAGGGATGAATTTTGGAGAGCAAGAAAAAATGAAAAGAGAAATGCAACCCAATCACTATCTTTGGACAAGGGAGAAAAATCGACAGGAGAAACACCATTTTCAAACCATATACAAAACCACAAAAAGGAGAAGAAAACCCAGAAAATGATACCTTTGAGGAAGGGTTGCCTTTACTTCTTCATTTTTCCCAAGGGTAAAACTTCATTTTTAGGATATTGAGGCTGGTGTGGGTTGTTTAGGGGTCTCAAAAAAGGGGTGTTTTTAGGGTTTGGGGTCTTTGAAATTTGTTTTAGTTTGAATCTTTTATTTTTTGGTTCAAAGAGAGGCTCGGTGAGATTTGGGTTTCAAAAGGAGTCGTTTTAGGGAAGTTTTCCACTAACGGCGTCGATTTACAGCAGCTGTCTCGGTGGCTGGCTTCTTCTCGATGGAAGAGAAAATGAGATGGAGAGAGTATGATATTTATGCTTTTAGGAAAAAGATGAAAAAGATACAAAGTGTTTCTTAGCCATTTAGGGTATAAGTTTGGCTTTCATTTAAGAAACCAAACGACGTCGTCTTGAGAGGTAGAGACCATGCATTTAGAGTATGGTCTACTCTTGCGGGAAACGTCTCCACATTTGCAATATTCCATTTTAGTCACTAAACAAAGATTAATCTTTGTATTTCAAACAAGTTATCTAAGTCCCTTGTATATGGCTTCATAGTGTCGGATTTCAGTCGGTATAACTCACTGAGTTGTTGGAGTTGCTAACACAACCAAATAATCCAGTGTTATACTATAAATTCAATATAACATAACATGAAGACATTGTATGTCTATTATGGGTACAATACTATATGATGTTCTACATTCGAGATGGAATCGGAAACATATAAGGAGATAAACAGTGCAAAAATTGAATTAATTACCTTTAGCTGATGGTTCATCCTGAGGTTTCATTGCTGGGAAGAGAAAAACTTCCTGTTCAAACATAGCATGTAACATGTTTTGAGTGACGATTGAAAGTCGATTGAATTTCATTTGTGAGTGAGTATATATAGATACACAAACAGATTAGAGAAAACCTTGATATGTTGTGAATCTGTTAATAACATAGCTAGCCGATTGATACCTAATTCCCAACCACCTATTGGTGGCAATCCATAATCAAGTGCAGTACATAATGTTTCATCCAAAGCCATTGCTTCATCATCACCTGATTGTCGATCTTGACATTCTAAAATCTTCACTTGATTGCTTCATCATCATGTTTCACAATAGAATGGAATTTAGCAAATTCACCTTCATCCAAGCCTGACTTTGAATGTCCCATAAACCGATATTACCTTGAATATCCCATAAAACTTCACATAACAAGAGAAATTTGGAGGACATAAATAAGATAACACATCTTATGATGAAAATGGTCATATACCTCGCATCAGCCATAACTTGCACTTTGGCATCGCCACCATGCAAGTCATAGAAGAAAAGCTTTGAGTTGGATGCTCTTTTTCTCATAATATGCCCTAGCATAAAATAAATGCAATATAGTAATTTCAAAATAAATAAATGAACGCAACCATCATTCATTGGATGGTATATGATGGGAGTAAAAGAGCCTCGTTAAATACTAGGCAAAGACCCTGTAATATCCTCAATATGTTCCCCTTTGCCTGAGCTTCCATATTCATCTATATATTTGACTATAGATATTGATGTGAAGAATTTATGAGGACATGGATTTTTTTTCTTTTGCATTTTGAGCTACAAGAAATTTTAGCCTATTCTCAAGGAATTACTGATAAGAAAGGGTTAAATTTAACATTTTGTCAAGAGGTCACTTAAATCTTTATGAAGTTTGCGTTGTGATTTGTGAAAATCATCACTATAGCAAACATTAAACTATAATAAAAGCACAGAGATGTGTTTTCTTTTCTACAAATTTATCAAGTAAATGTTTTCACAAAACTTTTCCTCCTAGAACCAGACTGTAATCTTCATATCCAATATAATAAATCATTCATTTCTGAGTAAAAATATGGCTTCATTTAGTTGTTATTATCACTGCTTGTATTTGTTGAAAACATTTTGATGTTTCAATATAACAAATTAAGTGTTATTGAATTTTAAGATTTTATAATCATTTTTGAAGTATATTCGATTAAATTATTCGAATATAAAAAATATTACTCCAAGTTTTTCAAAGGTCATTTAAAATCCTTAATTAAGTGTAAAATTGTGTTTGAAACATAAAATATTTTTGAAACAGATTTACAAAGTATTTTAAACCTTAATCGAGCCAAAAATCAATTTAACAAAGGGATGTATCGATACACTCTTTAGTGTATCGATGTACTCCTGGATTTATTAAAACATCAAATGCAATTAGTGTACCAATGCACTTGGAGTGTACCGATACACTAGGTCTTACAATGGTCAAAATATTTGAATTTTACACATAGTGTACCGATGCACCCTTGAGAGTGTACCGATACACTCACGCTCCCACCAGATTTTTAAATTATAATTATACCATAACGGCTCTATTGACTTCGTCAATGATCCTCAATGTTTAGAAGTGATTAAAGGTGTATTTAAACAAGCTTAGGAGCCATTGATCAACAACAATTGTGAGAGAAACAAAGCGAAAGCCTTAAACATCAAGTTTGAGCAATTCAAGCCTATTTTCATTCAATATTCATTTTTTCTTTCAAGAACACTACTTGTACTCAATTGTATTCATTCTTGAGTGTTCTTTATTTTTTATAGAATTGTGCAAACATCTTGCCTAGTGAGGTTTTTTCTGTAAGTTTGCAAAATTTGTATTGTTCTCTTTGGGAGAGAGTGTTCTCAAGAATTTGGGGTATAATTCTTGAGGGAGGTGTAAGGTTACTCTTTGTCCTCAAAAGAAAGGAAAATTAGTGAATTTGTGGAAAATACTTAGTATGGATAGCTATGGTAGTGGATGTAGACTTTGGTTGAGAAAGTCGAAACACTCTAAATCATTGAGCAAATATTTTTTATTTTCTGCAAAAGCTTTCACTAAAATTTTTTATTGCCAATTCACCCCCTCTTGGCTATTTTGTCGATCGATTAACACAACAATTGATATCATAGCTACACTCATTTGAAGGTTTAACCACCTCTTGAGTCAATTTGGGATGAGTTATATCAATATTCAAGTCATCAATGGCCTCCACTTCAAACTTTGACTTTGGTCTTGATTTAATGCCCGTCAACAAGTCTCCTTACGTCAATGGAGCAAATTATGCTTATTGGAAGAATAGAACGAGGTACTTCATTCAAGCAAGTGACATGGGAGTATGGAATATCATAGAAGACGGATACATCATACCTTCCACTCATTTAAGATTGTGGAGTGAAGGAGAGACAAGAATGTTCAGCTCAACTCAAAGGCTATCCATATTATATTTTGTGCTCTTAGACCAGATGAATACAGAAGAGTTTCATCTTGTACAACTACCAAGGAAATATGGGATAAACTACAAGTCACTCATGAAGGCACAAACGAGGTAAAAGAATCTAAAATTAGTCTTCTAACTTATAGCTATGGAAATTTCAGGATGAAACCAGATGAAGACATCAAAGCTATGATGGATAGATTTTCCATGATTGTCAATGGTCTCAAATCATATGGAGAGATCATTCCAAATGAGAAGCTTGTAAGGAAGTTAGTTTACTCTCTTCCAAAAGCTAGGCAATCAAAGAAGACATCAATTATCGAGGTTAAAAATTTAAAATCTTTAACCCTCGATGAGCTTATTGGTTCTCTCCTCACACATGAATTGATGCTTCAAGATGAGGAAGACCTCAAGAAAAGTGACGAGACAAAGAAGGAGAAGAAGAAGAACGTTGGACTTGCTCTCAAATCCATAAAAGATGAGAGTGATTCTGATGAAGATGACGATGACGATGACGAGGAAATGACATTATTTGCCAAAAGGTTCAGAAAATTAATAAAGCCCAATAGATGAAGAAAATTCAAACGTAACGACGGCTTCAAGAATGAACCAAAAGAGAAGGACCTTATCATTTACTACAAATGCAGAAAGCCAGGACATGTCAAATACAATTACCCATAATTAAAGAAAAAGGGTCAATCCAAGAAGAATCATAAGACACACGTGGCTACATGGAGTGATGATGAAGTTTCTGATGAAGAGGAACAAGAAGTAGCAAACTTGTGCTTGATGGCTTTCGGGAAGGATTCTCAAGTAACCTCTAGCTCATTTAATTTCGAATATTATTCTTTTGATGAGCTGTTAGTGGAATATACTGGGTTGACTTCGGATTATGAGAAATTATTTTTAAAATACAAAAATGATATTTCAAAATTGAAAAATGAAAATAATCTCATATCCAAGACCAACATTGATCTTGAGAGTAAGATTAAAAATTTGCAAATCAAACTAGATGAGTATAAAAAGAAAAATTCTGATTTGAATAATTTACTTTCAAAGGTCAACGATGATCATCAAAAAGAAATTTGGAACAAAACATTTTTAAAAAGGAGAAAGTTCAAAATCCAACTTTGTTAGAAAAGTTTTAAAAACTACAATCATAGAGGTCCCCGAAGAACCTCTAATAGAAAAATCATTAGAAGTATATGGGTTCCTAAATAACTCATTACTACTAAAGATAAGGGTATCCTACACAAGTGGATACCCAATGGGACTAGAATTTTAGAAACTAATGAATATGGACCCAAAAGAAATTGGGTACCAAAAATCAAAAAATTAATCTATGTTTGTAGGGAAAGGAGCTTTGCTACAAGGCACAAAATAAAAGTTCAAATTCATGGTACCCTGATAGTGGATGCTCAAGATATATGACTAGAGATAAGAACCGGTTCATAGAGCTTAACGATAAAAATGGAGGAGAGGTGACTTTTGGTGATAATTCAAAAGGTCATATTGAAGGTATAAGTACTATAGGTAATACCTTTTCCATACAAATTAAAAATGTTTTATATGTGAATGGGTTGAAGCATAATCTATTGAGTATTAGTCAATTATGTGATAAAGGATGCAATGTCTTATATGAAACAAATGGTTATAAAAATTGTTGACATTGCATCTAATAAGATTATGCTTGTTGGTCATAGAATAGGAAACATTTACATGATGCATTTTGATACAATAAATATGACTAACTTGTGCCTAGTTGCTAAGGATGGACATGATAGTTGGTTATGGCATAGGAGAATAAGACACACTAGTATGAGTGTTTTACAAAGACTAATTTAAGGAGATTTAGTAAGAGGATTGCCAAAGCTAAAATTTGATAAAGATAAAATCTGTGATGCTTGTGCTAAAGGAAAACATTAAAGAGCTTCCTTTAAGTCCATTAATGATGTATCAAATAGTAGAGTATTACAATTGATCTATATAGATCATTTTGGGCCAATTAGGACTATTAGCTTGGGTGGAAAACAATATTGTCTTGTATTGGTAGATGACTATTCTAGATAAACTTGGGTTTTATTTTTAATTACTAAAGATGAAGCATTAGAAAAATTAATCACGTTCTCAAAAGTAATCCAAAACAAAAAAGGTTACTCCATAATTAGTGTTAGGAGTGATCATGGTACTGAATTTGAAAATCTTTGATTTATTGATATTTGTAATTCTAATGGTATTAGTCATAATTTTTCAGCACCAAGAACCCCTCAACAAAATGGAGTTGTCGAGAGGAAAAATCGAACTTTAGAATAAATGGAACCATGCTTTGTGAAAACAATTTGCCAAAATATTTTTTGGGTTGAAGCAACAAATACCGCTTGTTATGTTATAAACTGAGTAATGATTAGGCCAATTTTAAAGAAAACTCCATATGAACTTTTCAAAAATAAAAAGCCTAAGATTAGTTATTTTTATCCTTTTGGATGTAAATGTTTTGTTTTAAACAACGGTAAAGAAAATCTTGGCAAATTTGATGATAAACGTGATGAAGGAATTTTTCTGGGTTATTCCTTAAATTCTAAAGCTTATCGGGTATTTAATAAAAGAACTTTAGTGGTAGAAGAGTCTATACATGTTGTTTTCGATGATAATCCCCTTCCGAGGAAGGATTCTTGTGTTGATGATGACGTAGGTATTGTAAAAGTAAATGATGTTAAACATGACGTTGGAGAACCATCATCAAAGGAAGAAACAAAAAGATGAGGAAGCTCACAATGTTCTCAAGAATCCAACCATTTAATAA